GGCGGAATTGTGATCACCAAGGGCAACATGTATGTGGGGAGGGAGAACAGTTGTGCATGAATGTATCGCCTTTGCCTTAGTGATGATATCATTGTGAGTAGGCCAAGCATTGAGAGTGATGGTTCAAGTGTTGAAAATGTGTCAAGTGTTGGTAGGTATGTTGTAACTGATGGAATGATTGCATGCATGAATGAAATGAACTTTGTTGGTTATTTTGTTTGTTCAATTTCTTTAAACATTTAACACACACTAATATTATAAACATTAAAAAAATGCAAACTAAATGAATGTTAAAATATTACACATAAGATTTTGAAAAATGTGAAACTTGTGTGGAATCAAATTTTTCAAAGAAACCATTTCCATTAGTTAAGAGAAAAATACATTACTACTTGAGTTGTTTCATTCTGATATATATATATATATATATATATATATATATATATATATATATATATGTGTGTGTGTGTGTGTGTGTGTGTGTGTGTGAATTAAACGAAATACTTACTCCGGGATGAAAAAAGTATTCATCACATTTTGCGATGACTCTAGTCGATATCTACATGTTTATCTATTGAGATTAAAAGATGAAACTTTAATTCTTTTAAAATATATAAGGCTGAAGTCTAAAGTCAACTTGAAAGTCACATTAAAATTCTAATCTTAGATTGAGGTGGGGAATATTTCAACCAAGAGTTTAACATATTTTGCAAAGATAATGGAATCAAACACAAAAGAACTTCACCCTATAGTCCCCAACATAATGGTTTAGCTGAAAGAAAGAATATAAACCTTTGTGAGATGGTTAACTGCATGTTGAACCAATCGGGTAGACCAAACAATCTGTGATGGGAAGCAGTATCGACTGCTTACTATGTTCCTAATAGGATCACTAGTTGTGTGATTCCTACAACTCCTTTTGATTTGTGGAAGTATAGAAAACCTAACCACGATAGTCATAGGTCTAAAACCACAATATAACTGTTTGTGATAGAAACCCAACTTGACATTAGTGTCCTAATTCTTAAGTTTAAAGGGTAACAATGAAGTCACTAACGATAGAAGCTACTATCATAAATGATAGATCCATGTGAGGTAGGATAGTATGTCGTTACCGAGAACGAGGTTGAGTTAAGACTCTTAACAAAGTTTTGGAGACATATAAGCAATGAAGATGTTGTAAAACTTTGCCTATATTATCCAGAGGTTGTGCCTCCTCAAGAGAAGATTAGTGGTTTATCTTCTAAAGGGACATGAAAAGGTTTTTAGCGCATGACCATATTAGCACTCAAGGAGAATGCAAAGATAACAATTGATGTGTGTGGGTTAACTGGGGAGGTCACAAGGTTCGTGGCTTAAACCTATAAGGATACCACAATCGATCTCCTATTGTTTACCCATATAAAACAAGGGTTTAATCTTTATGACACCCATGTGACATCTCTTGTCTGAGTGAAAGGAAACTTTCCAACTTGGTAGGGGATTGCGGGAAATTATAATGGCATAATAGCAAGTTGGCTATTTTCCTTTATCCCATATTGGTGGGGGAAGAAACATTTAGTAGGTTTATAATGCTTTTCTCTTGATAGACCTTCAAAGGTTTAAAGTTGATCAAAAGATGAGCCAAGCCCACACATGCGCGCCTAGCCTAACCGGTGTCGCGGGTGAATGGAATGGCACACTTCACATGATGCCCCAGTTGCTGGGAGCTAAGGAGCTTTTATTTTTAGCAGATTCGGGATCGGTCGAGTTGGACCCAATCAGGTTCATGTTTTTCACATCGTGACGTTGGGATTACGCTGTGATTCTCGCCAGAATATTCTGGTAGGCCCAAAATGAGTCGCTTGGAGAGCAAGGCATAGCCCTAGGGCATCTAGAATCTAGCCATAAAGGGTATTTTGCTCACTTCTTGGGTTCGCGCAACTATAAATACCACTCTCTAGGAGCCGTATTGACTTCCACAAAAAATTGAGTTGTGTGTTTGTATGTGTGTGTGGTTTCTTCCATCTTTCCGAGTAATCACTTTGTGTTTTTTCCTCTTCCATAGTTGTTGAAACAAAGAATAATTTTCATTAAATCCTGGGAGTTTACGTTGAAGCATACAACCGTAGAGAGATGTAAAAACCTTTAAGGACATGAGTCAAATTTGTGGTGGTTTCTATAATCAAAATCTACTGCTGACAGGTCAGTTTTACTTTCTTGTGTCGTCTTTTAATTTCATCTGATAACGGGACAATTTGCTTCCATTCATTTCTTATAATAAGATCTGATCGTGAAGGATCATTCTTATTTTTGGACGGAATTTTATAACAATAATATTAATAATAGAACTTATTATCTTGCAACATTTCAACGTTTAATCCATCAGTTGTTTTCTTTTGTAAAAACATTTTGGATAATTAATCATAAATATTATTTATCCACTTAGTTGTTTGTAAATACTAAATAATTCGTTATTAGTTCGTGTTAGTAATTATCAGATTATTTAAATATAAGTACTAAATTTTAACAAACATGGGTAGATATAGTGTTTTAGTGAAATTGAAAAAAAAGGATATTACACTAAATCCTGAATGTCTTGTTCATTATTATTTAATTTATTAAGGGGGTGTTTGATAAATAAGTTTTTAGCTTATTAGCTTATTATTTATTTGCTTATTGTGGTGGGAATAAGCACTTTTTTAAAAATTGTTTGGATTACCTTATTGTAGTAGGAATAAGCAATAAGCAATAAACATTTTTAAGTGTTTGGCAAACAAAACAGCTTATATGAGTAAAATGACCAAAAATGGCTTCCTCTTATATGTTAACATATTTTTCTTATTCAAACAAAACATTTTTTTAAATAATAATAACAATTTTCTTATTTATAAGAACTAAAAAAACATTTACCAAATTATTTTTACACCCATTTTTAACTTGATCGGATTCACCTATCGAAATTTCATTCCAAAACCATGTAAGACCACAAATTTCATTCCAAATCTATATTATCCAAAATATCCAAAATATTATCCAAAAATAGTTTCATGCTACTACATTAAACCATAAAATGAAAATACTAAATCTTTTCAAAACAAATCATATGTCATTACGTGCACGAGTGTTTGACCTTGAGAATATCTGTTCCACAATCATATCACGCACTGCACTCATATACATATCGTCACTTCTATGTTGTGTACTTGATACTTAGTCATGTGGATCAATACCATCATCGGGTCTTTCATCATTGCACGAAATATAAGATTCTTCTTGCGCTATTTGAAATGTTGCATCACCACTGCCGCTCATTCTAATGTAATTGTGAATTGCCATTGAAGCTAGCATAATTTTAACTTGGGTCTCGAAGTTGAAATTTACATGCATATCTCTTAGTAACACCCATCGAGCCTTGTAGACTCCAAAAGTTCGTTCAATTACATTGCGAAGTGACGAATGATAATAGTTAAAATTTTCTTTGAAGCCTTTTGGTTCCTGCGAGGCATGAGTCTGTCCACATTGAAAATCAAGAATATGATAACGGATGTTTGTGTAGGGAGCAAGATAACCTTTTGTATTAGGATATCCGGCGTCTACAAGTTAAAACTTACCTATAGAGGTAAAAAATGATTGTTATTCATTTATACGGTTTGAAAATATAAAACTTCTATTAATAAGTAATGATACTAACCATCGGATGGAAGTGGAAACTTAACTTCACGTCTCCTTCGTCTTCATTTAAAATTCTTGTGTCATGTGCAGTCCCCTCCCATCCAACCTATGTGAATGTAAAGCACATGTTGAAATCACATGCTGCCATAATATTTTGAGTAACGAAATTCTTTCGTCCAATGTATTTGATTTTCTCACGTTGCGGAACAGAGGTCTTCACGTGTGTTCCATCGATGGCACCAATACAATCCTACAAATTTGTAAAATATAATAAGTTTCCAATTATTTTTACAATTACACAAATTCACCAAATAACATAACTTTGCAACAAATAAGTACCTTGAAGTATGTATAATACTGAGGGTTATTTAAAGTATGTTCTGGTACAGTTTCGTTGTAGTTAGCATTTGGTTTAATGATGTCCTTACTTAGGTTAACCACAACATCCAAGACTTTATGAAACTGTATATGGATTGTTTCCCCAAAATGATTAAAGAACTCTTGAACTAACTGATTTCCACATCCATGCGCTAAGTACAACAAGAAAATACCAACATACTCTTCAATAGATACACGAGGTGATATCTTTAACCCATAATGTGCAACAAGATCCCTACATAACATGTTGAAAACCGAGATTTGTAATCTGAAATTTTGATAACATCGACTCTCATGATTGTTAAGTATTTCATTAATAAGCATGCTTCCTGTACGTGAAGATGAACAGCGACGTCTACATACATATTTCGATTTACGAGTCAAGAGTAACCCTTTAACAGCAAGCCCACATAAAATAAGTGTTTGAATCTCTTCTTTTTCTTCAATTTCATCACATAAGTTATCACTGTCATATGAGTTGTCACTTTCACAGTTACTGGCCATGAATATAACTTGTTACTAAATGAAAAGGAAACTAGGGTAAGAATGAAATTTACCACATACTAGATAGAATCAATAAATCATGGCAACATCATGCAAAAGAGAACAAGAGCAAAATCATGGGGCAAGGGCAAAATTGTCCACAAAACAAACATGAAACGACATTTCATAAAACAAACACAAAACAACCATTTAAATGTAACATAATAGATTAAAGGATATGTATAACATATGACAACCATTTAATGTCTTCCTAATACATAAAATCATTGAAAAGGAAACAAAAACAAGATCATGAGACAAGGGCAAAATTGACCACAAAAGTAGAGTATGTCTAACACATGAAATAAAATGATAGGGCTAACACGTGACATAAAAGTAGACTATGTCTTTAACTACTTCTCTTTCTCTATAAGCCTCTTGAGAAACTCCATCTTGGTTTCATTAGTCTTTGGAACCATAAAATTCTAACAAGATGGCTTCTTTAATAAGACCTCTAATGCTTCTAAATATCCTACTGAGCCTTCTTCAAAACCCTGGAAAGTAGAGACAATTGCCATGCAATCTTCTGTTATGGGTGACTGTGTGGTTTCTCTAGAGGGTTGAGTGCTCCTTGTTAACAAAACATCAAAAACAGTGTCCAGATTCTCTTCATATGACAAGCATGCCATACTTTTTCCTTCATTTTTCCCTTCAAATTTTCTTTTGTTGTCACGCCTAGGAGTTAACTTCTTTCCCCTCCTTTTCATACTAGAACTATCATATGTTAGAAAAGGATCAACATCTTCAAATAAGCGGACTTCGTCAGTATCCACTTTTCCATCTGTAATATCTACAAACTGTACATCATCCAGAGTGCTACCATTGCCGAATTTGCAAGGTAGCTTAGCCTTGTCTCCAACAGTTACGGTATCCCGAAATAAAGCCTCGTAATATGTCTGATATACATCCAAATTCTTATCCTTAAACTTAGCATACTCTTTATCTTCCTATATGTACAAAATGATAATGTCACGAAAAACACAATACAAATAATATATTGTTAGATAAAAATGTTAATTATTATCTTTATTTTCTCATCCCACCATTCCTTTGATGCTGAAATTATATTTCTCGTGTGATCAATTGAAATTCTCGTTTCTAGTCTTGTTAAACGGTCATAATATTTAAACTCTTTCCGCATAATGTCCCATTTGTTTTTCATTTGATTTATGTCCAATTCGTTACCCGTTCGTTCCAAATGCCTCTTACATATATTTTGGCACGAGGTTTGTTTGAAATAAGTATTCGATTTATTCCTCTTTTTTAGCTCGGTCATACATTCCTCAAGAAATATCTTGAATGTATGAGGATCCCAATGAAACCTATTTGTAACTTTCACTTTAGGTGTATCAATATCCATATCATGTACATTGACAGTGTCCATTACCTATATTACATCATCATAAGGAATGAAGAAAATTCTTAAATTTCAACCTAATATTGAATCAAAACAGCAGATGAATTTATAAATACAAACTAGAATCAATACCATCAATAGGAACAAATAACCACAAGAATAATGAAGAAAAAATAAAAGCATGACACGGTAAGTTTATGATGAAAAATCACAAGGGCAGTTTACCATCACAGTGCAGGGTAGGAGCAAAAAAAACAACATCATATCTAGAAGCATCAATAGCAGCTAATAACAAGAACAATCAACAATGAAGAAAAAAATAGAACAATCAAGAATCAAGAACGATAGGGGCAGTTTACCATCACAATGCAGGTAGGAGGAAAAAAAAATCATATCTATAAGCATCAATAGCAGCTAATAATAAACAATGAACAGGGGCGGAACACTAGCACTATAATTAGGGGGTCCGGAATCAAAACTTCATAATTTAACTATATAAACAAGTTTTATTTGGTTTAAAATTAGTACATATCAAAACTGTAAACAAGAAAATATAAAGATTGTTACATCGTTCTATTGTACTAAGTTCTAGTGTACTAAGATCAAAACGATTTCTTGTATTACAAACATTAGGCGTGGGTTATCTTTATCCAAAATAATCTCTAGTGGGTTTTTTTTTTTTTTTTTTTTTTTTTTTTTTTTTTTTGAAAAAACTCATCAATAATTGATTGTTTTTTCATGTTGATATGTATTATACAACCAAATTTACTAACAATTAACAAATATCAATAAATAAAAAGAGTTTTTTTTCAAAAAATAATATAAACTATGTATGATCTAATAACAACAATATATATATATATATATATATATATATATATATATATATATATATATATATATATATATATAGACAAATATATGCTAATGGATACCATTTATTCAAACAAGTTTATATACAAATATATCAATATTTTCATTTAACATGAATAGTAACTAATAATTATGAAGTAATATATATATATATATATATATATATATATATATATATATATATATATATATATATATCAAACATCTTATTTCGATATATACCATTTGAGGTGTGTATTTATTTGCAAATGTAACAAAAAATTCCATTTAGAATACATAATAAACTAATAAATATATAAAGTAGAATATACATTTACTTTTACACATCTTAACTCAACATATACCTTCTATATGAGGGTGTAGCTATGTATAGTCATAATCACCAAAAAAAATAGTGAGATATATTAATTCTATTTTATTCATTATTGTTCTAGCCTAATGTCTAGTGAGAGAAAGACAAAAATCAAAGATATAAAGAAAAAGAGAGAAACAAAGCTACGTACCAGAGAAGTGAGAACGGAGACTAGAAAAGAGCACTCAAGCACACAACGGTCGGAGCTCAAGTTTCAACAATCAACAGTCCTTGCTTCCGCGATTATTGGAGAGAGAGAGAGAGAGAGAGAGAGAGAGAGAGAGAGAGAGAGAGAGCAAGTATGGTACGGACACGGTGAATAATCCGGCAACCGGAAAAGAATACAAAACAACAGCGGTAGGCGGCGTTGTTCTCCGATGAGTTTCGAGAAATAGTTTCCTGGGGGCCGGAATAAACTTTGGATTTTAGGTTTAAACATTTCAGTTTTCTTAATCTCAAACTTGGGTAGTTTTCTTAATCTCAAACTTGGGTTAAAATGTTGTAATTTTTTTATTTAGATAGTGAGGTTTTTGTAGTTTTAAATAAATATTATGTTTCCTATTTTATATAATCTAAAGAAACAAGGTTGATTTTAATTTCATTAGTATTTTCCGAAATTTTTGTTACTCTATCTATATTATGTAAAATTCATTCATATTATCAGGAAACCAAGGGGTAAATATGTCATTCTAGTTTTATTTTCTTTCAACTTGATTACAAAATGATTTATAAACATATATTAGGAGACGTAAAAGCGGGGAGGCATCTCCTAGCCCCTAAGACGGTCCGCCATTGACAATGAAGAAAAAAGAGAACAATCAAGAATCAAGAATGACAAGGGTAGTCATCGTTTGTATGACCATGATCGAAAAAAAAAGAGACGCAAACAGATTATTTACTAGACGAGAAAAAAGAAAAAAAAGAAGCAGCATATTGTTGTACCTGATCATTGATCGATGGTTGATGGTTTGATGAAGATCGTCGATGGTAGCAGGAATAAGGAATATCGAACGGCAGAACTGATCGACCAAAAGGATTATGGGTTTATGTATCGTTGTTTTGAAGGGTAATTAGGTAAATTCTGAATTCATTAAAATTAAGCAATAACTATTGTCCCATTTGCTTATTAAAATCAGCTTATTTAACTTATTTTTACTATAATAAGTTGATTTTTTAAACATCATTTTCAAACACTTCAATTTAACTTATTATGGTGAGAATAAACAATAAGCGTTAATCAGCTACTTTTTACCTATCCAAACACTCCTAAATGGTCATCTTGGTCAAATATAAAAAATTAGTCAAATATATTTATTTTAAACAGAAAATGGCGGTTTTGTAAATATTCCATATTTTCTCCGTTGTATTATCCTTGCCCTCGCCGCTTGTGTCATACTATTTTACTATTAATGGTAATTAATTTGACTTTATAAATAAAAAGTTTAAATAATATACTTGTAAAAATACAAACAACTACTTCATAAAGTTATTCGAAAAAGACATAGATTCAAGATATAAACAGACACGAATTTAAAATAAAATAAAATAAACATTCTTTCCAAAGGAATCTTAAGAGATTTTAAAGATGAAAAAAAAAGGGATTATGACTTGCAGCTTATCCATGGTGTGTTAAAAACAGATCTCTGTTCTGTATCATGACTCAAAAATTTCTATAGCTAGATTCTTAATAACATGGCTCTCTCTCTCTCTCTCTCTCTCTCTCTCTCTCTCTCTCTCTCTCTCTCTCTCTCTCTATATATATATATATATATATATATATATATATATATATATATATATATATATATATATATATATATATATATATATATATATCCTCATCCTAGCCCACATTCTATAAATACCTAGTATATCCATGCAATCTCTACAAACGGAGTCTCTAAAACAAGCAAGAGTAAAAACCAAGACCAGCCCTAATGGCAAAAAGCATCAGATCAAAAGTGTTGCTAGTCATCTTCATCATCTTTGTAGTCTTCTGTGCCACCTCTTACGCCAATGATCAGGAGGTGCAAACCAACAATTCAAGCCAACTTTTGCTTCGAATGTTAGGGTTAAAAGTGTCTGATCTTGAATATTATAAAAGAAGGTCGCTTGATGCGAACCCCAAAAGGGTTGCACCAGGAGGCCCAGATGGTCAGCACCATTTTTCTGAAGCTCCATTGGCTCACTAGGTTTGCCATGATCGCATGGTGGATCTTGGTTTGAAGTTGATGAACGATGAATTGAATAATAAGTAAATGTTTCTTGCAATATTTATGTTATTGTGTGCTTTGGTTTTGTATGGTTTTGGTTTGTTCTGCAAATACATGCTTGCCTCCATAAAAGAGAGCAAGTTTACATTTGTGTTCTACAAATACATGTTTGCCTCCATGAAAGAGAGCAAGTTTACATTTGTGTGTATAATCATTGCAAATTTTAAGGTTTTTTTTTTATTAAAGATAGGATGTGCATGTGAGTGGATATTTAGCTTACTGGTATTAACTTTAGATGTGTTCGACAATCGATTTCTACAAGATTTTAATACCTGTTAGGTTTTAATTTCAACTACTAGCTACATTAGTTTTATGAAAAATGTTTTTATTTTCACTTGCCAAGTATTTCTTAAATTATTGATTATTATTTTGAGAAATAGGAATGAACAAAAACTAATCTGCAAACCGAAAATACAAAATCAAACAAATAATCATCGTTTTTTATGTTGTAAAAACCAAGTAATTGCGGCGTGATATGATTTAACATCGTACACAACACTACACAATTTGAAAAAACCACACCGTAAAACCACATTATATGATCTTTAAATAATATATATCATTCATTTGATATTTATAAAACATTTGTACTCTTTAGACAAAATGACATAAATGGTCCATTTGGTATTTCAAATATTATCAACTTAGTTTTGCTAAATTCTTTTACAACTATGGTGTATGTGATTTCCAAAACTTACAAGAATGATGCTTTCTATTCATACTGTTAGTTTCTGTCCGTTAGTGTGAGCGAAAGTTTGTATTTTCAAGTAGCAGAAACTGAGTTTATGATCATAACTTAATCATAGAGACTATTTATGTATTTTTGTCTATATTTTATATTTACGAGTTTGTAGGTTTTCTACTGTTTTATTTTTTAAAAATATCATTTTGACAATTTACCTAGAACTTTGTAAAATGTAATTTCACTTCTCAATTTTTTAAACTTTCTTGTTATTTTTCGTAATATATATAATTTGATTTTCCTTAATAACTTTCGTTCGTTAACCTACTAATTTTAATGTACTTACTTTTATATATGTGTCAGTATAAATTAAAGATGGTTAACGTTTTGTTATGAGTTTACAACTTTCGTTCATTAATTTCTTATTTTAAAACTTCCTTGCTTTTTTAGACAAAATTGCAAAAATAGTCTCTATGGTTTGATAATTTCTTTGGTTAAGGTCTAAAAAATAATTTATTAGCAAAAAATGTCCCTATTTAATAGTTTTGTTGTGGTTTTGGTCTCAACCTCGTTAAGTTTGATAATACGGCTGTTAACATTTAGCAAATGATGGATTTACCCCTCAGATCATTTCTACAGTTTTATTTTTTTACCAAACTACAATGATCAATTATGCAATTTTTCTTTTTCATTTTATTGAATTATTGTATATTAATTCTTTTAATTACTTTTTTTTAACTTTTTCTTATTATATTATTTTTATTAGATTATTATATATTAATAAATATTATTTTAATATATTATATTTAAATATTAACTAATATTACTTTTGGATTATTAGTTTTTTTAATTTTTTTTTAATTTCTTCTTTATTGCATTAATTCTTTTTATTGGATTATTATATATTAATAAATATTATTTTTAATATATAATATTTATCTATTAGTAAGTGTTACTTTATTGGATTATTAATTTCATTTAATTATTTTTGTTAAATTTTTACTGTGTTAATTCTTTTTATTGGATTATCAATTTAAAACTTTTATTTTTATTTAAAATAAATAATATTTTTTTTGATTTTTTTAATTTTCTTTTGATTTCATTCTTTATTGTTATAAATAAAAATACAAAAAAATCCCACCCATCCTATATTTCATTCTTTATACACACTGATGTGTGTGGACCATTCAAAACCGCTACAAGGGATGTCAACCGCTTCTATGTGACTTTTACTGATGATGACAGTAGGTATGGCTATATCTACTCAATCAAGCATAATTCAGAAACCTTTAAAAAGTTCAAAGAGTTTAAGCCAGAAGTGGAGAATCGACTGGGCAGGAAGATAAAGATGTTACGATCCGATCATGGAGGAGAGTATCTTAGTATCGAGTTCCTTGACTATCTTATGAAATGTGGAATTGTTTCACAATTGACGCCACCTAGGACACCACAACTTAATGGTGTGGTTGAGAGGTGCAATAGAACCTTGATAAACATGGTTCATTCCATGATGAGTCGAGCTTCGTTACCTATCTAGTCCCTACTAAAAAGGTTTCCAAAACACCTGACGAGATGTGGACATGGAAGGTTCCCTCATTAGACCATATCAAAGTTTGGGGTTGCGAGGCTTTCGTGAGACGCAAGACTCACGACAAGCTCGAACCTCGAAGTGAGCGATGTATTTTCATCGGCTACCCACAGAAGTCCGTTGGATATCTCTTCTATAGACCAAGTGACAATGTTATCTTCCTTGGGAGGATAGGAGTATTTTGAGAGAGAGAAATCATATGCCAATAGGACAGTGAGAGGCAAATTGACCTTGAAGAGCTTCAAGAGTTAAGTGATGAGGGAACCTCACACACTAGCACCCAACCTGAGGAGGAAACTTCGGTTGAGTCAATTGACAAGTTCGTACCTCTGAGGCGTTCCAGTAGAGTTACAGTTACACCTGAGTTTTATGGTTTCCATATTACTGCAGAAGGTGATACATTTATCAGTGATAGCACACATGTAAATTTGGATGAACCTAATACCTACAATGAAGCCATGGCAGGCCCCAAGTCTAAAAAATGGAAAGAGGCTTTGGACAGCGAGATTCAGTCCATGTATGACAATCAAGTTTGGAACTTGGTTGACAATGTACCAGGTCGTAAGACAGTCGGGTGCAAATGGATCTTCAAGAAGAAGACCGACATGGATGGGAAAGTACACACATATAAATCGTGACTGGTTGCAAAGGGCTTTACTAAACTCCGGGAGTTGACTATGATGAGACCTTCTCACCAGTAGCGAAGATTAAATCTATAAGGGTTATGTTGGCCATAGCTGCATTTCATGATTATGAAATATGGCAAATGGATGTCAAACCCGCTTTCCTTAATGGAAAGTTGGCTAAAGATGTTTACATGAGTCAGCCAGAGGGTTTTGTTAATGCAAAGTACCCTAATAGAGTGTGTAAGCTTGAGAAATCCATATATGCATTAAAACAAGCATCTTGCAGATGGAATCTTTGTTTTGATGAGAAAGCCAAAGAGTTTGGATTTTCGAGAAGCGAAGATGAGTCTTGTGTATATGTCAAAGCTAGTGGGAGTATAGTGAGCTTTTTGGTGTTGTATGTGGATGACATACTACTCATAGAAAATCACATCCCAACCTTGTAGGAGGTCAACGCCTAGCTTGGGAAGTGTTTTGCTATGAAGGATCTTGGAGAAGCTGCCTATATCCTAGGGATAAGGATATTGAGAAACATAAGTAAAAGACTAATAGGACTTAGTCAAACTACCTACTTGGACAAGGTATTGAAACATTTCGACATGGAGGAGTCCAAGAAAGGTGACTTACCTATCCAAGGCAATACCAAACTGAGTAAGACTTAGAGTTTGAGTACAGAGGCTGAGATAGCATAGATGATTTATATACCATATGCTTCCGCAGTTGGTTCGATCATGTATGATATGACTTGTACTCGCCCTGATGTGGCCTTTGCTTTGATCATGGTCAGCATATATCAAGGGAACCTTGGTAAAGCACATTAGACTACGGTTAAGAACATTCTTAAGTACCTGCAGAGGACTAAGGACTGGGTCCTTACCCTCAGTGGGAGTGATGACTTGAGAGTAACAGGGTATAGCGACACCAGCTTCCAAACCGACAGAGATAATTTCCTCTTTCAGTCGGGCTAGATATATACGCTGAATGGAGGAGTAGTGACATGGAAAAGTTCCAAGCAGGAAACTGTAGTTGATTCAAAGTGCGAATCAGAGTACATTGCGACAAGCGAATCATTAAAGGAGGCGATATGGTTGAAAAACTTCATTAGAGACCTTGTAGTAATTCCATCCATAAAGGAGCCTATGAAGATTTTCTCCGATAATGAAGGGGCAGTTGCCTTAACCAAGGAACCGAGAGATCATGGAAGATGCAGGCATATCGACAGAAAGTACCACTTTATAAGACATCAAGTAGAAGAACAACACCTTGTGGTGAAGAGGATATCGTCAGAGGACAACCCAGCAGATCCCCTTACAAAGGGACTGACTAGGGTTAAGCACTTGCAGCATGCAAGGGACATTGGGCTAATGGATGATATTAGTTTTAGTGATTAGATAAACCAAAACTTGTAATAGATAAATTTTAATTGACATTTGATGATTAAATAAAAGGAGTTTTATTTACTAGTAAAGTAACTGTCTTGTTTCAGTTATTTACTATTGTTTCACTTTGCATGTTTTGACTTCCAGAATAATAAGATTTATTCAAACTATCCACGGTCGGTCATACGTTGAAAGTAAGTATGAAAGAAGACTGTCATGAGTTGGCTTGTAGATTTTCTAAGGTGTTAGGCATAGCAACAGTTTGCTACACCATTCATGAGTACTCCTGAAATAAGATTTGAGTATTGGATCAACCTGCGCTCACCTGAATCAGTTCATGGAATTTATTACGAGTGATTTTGAGATGATAATATCATATAGTCTACAAACCAAGATATATGAGTTGTTAACTACAAGTTGGTTGTGCATTGATGGCACGAAAATGCATCAATAACTTGATGTTATAAAACGTGTCGTTGTGGATGATTTGATGAGTAGTTAGTGCAAGCATATAATGTCAAAGGTTATATGTTCCTTTTATCCTAAGAGGATTAAAAGTGATATATTAGTCCCCTCGATGATTATGTTTTGACTTATGTGTCGGGCCCGGTCAGAACTAAATTGATGTGTTCA